ACAAAACAACTACAACCGAGGTACTAGTGACTGCTTCCATTGTGGTAAGCGGGGACATTTCAAACGTAATTGTCCATCCTTGCAATCAGCTTCAAGAGGCGATCAAAATCAGTTCCGAACTTCTAATCAATCTCATGAGTCTCAAAGGCAACAACAAAGTTTGGGACAAGACAGTCCTAAATCTGTGGCAACCACAAATCAGCCCCGCCTGCCCTACAAGAGGAAGGAGTTTGACCAGAGCCCAAGGCCTCAAGGCCATGTGTTTTGCATCACACCTACTGAAACTGAAGGACAAGTCAGCAATGCTGTGGTTGAAGGTAAGATTATGGTTTTTCATACATGGGCTCGCATTCTTTTTGATACGGGATCATCTTATTCTTTTATTTCTGCATCATTTGCTGCATCATTGGGGTTAGAATCTATTCCTTTAGACTTCTTTCTTCCTCTAGTTTTTCCCATGGGAGAGTCTACCATAATCACTAAAGCTTGTAAATCTTGTATCCTTTCGATAGCGAGTTGCTCCATGGAAACTGATTTGGTTTTACTTGACATGTCGGAGTTTGATATTATCCTTGGAATGGATTGGTTGTCTTCTCATCAAGCCATTGTAGATTTTTATCACAAGAGTGACATTTCAAGTGGATGATGGGAGCGTTCTTTGCTTTCAAGGAGATATGCATTACATTTCACCTATTTCCCCCTCCAAACTGTTCACATTAAAAGGGGAAAGCTGTAATTTTGTGGGTTTTCTTGCTTCCATATGTGGGAAGCCAAGTCCTTTTACACATGTTGTCCCTACTCCGGTACTGAGTGACTATGAAGACGTTTTTCCAGCCGAGCTGCCAGGATTACCGCCAAAAAGGGAAGTTGATTTTTCTATTGAGTTGTATCCTGGCACCGCACCAATCTCTACCTCTCCTTGTCGTATGGCACCACCTGAGTAACGTGAACTTAAGAAACAACTTCAAGAGTTATTGGACAAAGGATTTATCCGGCATAGTGTGTCACCATGGGGTGCTCCAGTGCTCTTCGCCAAAAAGCATGACGGCTCTTTACGTTTGTGCATTGACTATCGGAAACTCAACCGAGTCACAAAGAAGAACAAGTACCCTTTGCCACGAATAAATGAATTTTCTACGAATTTTTAACTAATTGCAGTGCAGATTTTGTTTTGTAGATGATTGTGATGTGTTTAAGTTGGTAATTATTAGAGTAGCGCAACGGAAGTGTGTTTGAGGTTATTTAAGTATATTTGGGACAATGAATGGACTATGGGTTTTTATATTGGACGATTGTTGATAATTTATTCGAACGGTTTCCGAATCATGTTTTGTGATAGCCCCCAATTTTCAGGTCGTTACAGTATATACGGGTGAGTATGCAACACTACTCAACAGCTTGAGCTTTTGCGTCGGAAGGCAAGCGACCCATTAAAGTTGGTATGTCGGAAATGAGGGGGCGTGCACAAGTCCATGCAGGTCAGGCTAGCAAGAACATTGGTCCCAAGAGGGGCAAATTGCGACATCCCACATCGCTTGGGAGGAGAAGTTCTTGGCATTTATATGTGTAGACACTCCTTAACTGTAGACACGTTTTGAGGAAAACCGTGAGAACTGAGAGAAGAGTGTGCAAAGCAGACAATATTTACATAGGTTGGGGCGGGTCATAACACTAACAACTAGTTTTCTGCTTGAATCACTTCCACAATCTCATGAACGAGCCACTGACTCCATGAACAATCTGCACTCTTTTAAGTGATCCAATTTTCTCCATCTTCAACTCCAAGTTAAGCGGATGATATTCATTAAACACCAAAAAGTTCCATGCTATCAAGTTAATCACAATTATATGTGAAGGATATCTAATGAATTCCTACTTAAGAAAGAAGAAATCTCTCAATCTTATGGAAAACAAGGAAATTTGGAGTACCTAGATGTACTGCATCTATTATGCTATTTTTCCACTTTCAAAATAACCCAGAAGGCGTTTGTTTTATTGATTATTAGTTATAGTTGTCAAAGGCCTTTGTTGGAATCTAAGAAGCACGGACACGGATACGACACGACACCGACACGGCGACATGGCAAATCCAAAAAAATTAGGACACGGACACGGCAAATAGTATATATATATATATATATATGATGTAGTACTTTAAAAATTACTTAGTATTATTGTTTTTCATCAACCTCACAATGAAAAAAAAAAACACAAATCATAACTCATAATTAATAAACTATAAAAGAACAATGTTGAAGAGTTATAAAACCAAATAAAAAACAAGACATTAGCCTAATAACTAGTATCATTTAATCATCATTGCAACTTTACTCCAAATAGAAAAGCATAGACAAAAAGGACTATTAAAACTCATGACATTCAAGACTTTACTGTTAGCACTTAACATTTATAAAAACCTAAAGGCTAGTCTCCAAAAAAGATACAAAAACCAAGACAGTGTACTATAATCTATTCCCATCCATCATTTGACCTAAGACTTTTACCATTTACAATACCAAAAGGGTAGTACAAAACAAAAACAAAAAAAGAACATATCAACATTCAAAAAAATATATATTTCCAGAAGTGTCCGTGCCGTGTCCGTGTCCGAAAATAAAATAAAAAATTCCAGACACGTTTTTTAGCGTGTCCGACACGTGTCGGGGCGTGTCCAATGCGTGTCCGTGTCCAACACGTCACGTTTTTTGGCGTGTCCGACGCGTGTCCGTGTCCGTGTCCGACACATGTCGGACACGGATTCTTCGCCCATTTTGGAGTGTCCGTGCTTCCTAGGTTGGAATCAAATCCTTGAGGAATCTGGATTATTAATTATATTTTTTTTGATAAGTATGGATTATTATTATAGGGCTGCAAACGAGCCGAGCTGAGCTTTGGGGTGCTCGGGCTCAGCTCATCACAACTGTAGTACTGGTCGAGCTCGGCTCGAACTCGATCAAGCTCTAAGTGCCTATGATTGAGCCCGTCTCGGCTGTGTTCGAGCGAGCCCCAGCTCGGCTCAGCTGCTCGTTTATTCATACCAATATATGCATATATGAATCTGTGTGTGTAGCAATAGCCTATACCCAAATCCTGACTCTAATAACGATCTTCCCTATTTTGCTCTCCAAAATCGATCATTGATGCCAATACACTATTGAGAAGAGAGAAGTGAAGAGTGCAGGGAAGTGACTCAAGTGAGACCATCTGAGAGAGAGAGAGAGAGAGAGAGAGAGAGAGAATGATTGAGAACAGAAAAGTGAAGAGGACAGCCTGTGACAATAGGGAAAGTTAGACCATATGAGAGAAGGAAAGAGAGAGGGCACTAGCTTGGTAGATTTTGCCGATCGATTCGGGTTCCATTCCTGCGATCTCCGGTTGGTTGGGGGAAGGGAGTGTGGTGTGGGTAGGGTTGTTGAGAATCTAGAGAACCGAAAGTAATTTTAGGGTTTGGAACTTGGAAAGAGATCATAATGAATGGGCTTGGGCTAGTTTTATTTTGAAGAGAAAATAATATAAGCATATTTGGTTGGGTTCACTAATTGGGCTTGGGCTTAAAATAAATTAAATAGTTAAAAGACCTAGTAAGTGACATAAAAACCTGAAATTGTATTATATATTTTACGCATATATATGTTACATATATAATTGTTCACGATCTTAAAACGAGCGAGCTTGTTCACGAACGTGTTTACGAACAAACGGACTGAGCGGAGTAGTGTTTGAGCTTGGCTCGTTTAATAAACGAGCCCAGTAATTTTGTTTGAACTTGGTTCGTTTAGTAGACAAACGAACACGAACCGTGCTCAATTCGAGCCAAGCCCGAGTAGCTCGCAAATGGCTCAGCTCATTTGCAGCCCTAATTTATTAATAATTTAGACCAATGCAAGTGGTAACTAGATAAAGTTGGATTGGTGTAAGTGAAAGTTCAATGGCTGGAAGTCCATTCTGGAAAAAGTTAAGACTTGTGCAAATAAAAGTCCACCGGTGCAACTTCGTTCTGATATTTAACTCCAGAGTAATCAAGTAGCTAGTTGGACTAGTGTATAAAAGCACAAACCGATGCAATCATCCGCTGTTTTCAGGTTAATTTTAAAGTCCAATATAACCTTTTAAATCATTAAGTAACTCCGATAAAAACTTTGACTAACTACCACCAAAGTGCCAAACCTAAGTCAAAGAAGGTGGTCCAATGCACATTTAGATGGTCCTCATGCCCGTGATGTCCTCAATATAGTATTCTAAGAGTCTCACTGTCTCAGCAAATAGTAAAGAGTGGACATCCACTGCAGCAGGCGAATCTCCATGAAATCGAAATAGATCGGAAACATAAAAGACATGGGAAGCTGATACATCCTCTTAAAGGTCAGTAAGAATCGTAAGATATACATTTATGGCAATTTCTTAAGGATTCATATGGTCCAAACTTCCTTTGACTCAACTTTCTACAAGTCTCAAGTCTTAACTGGAAACCACTCTAAACAAAAGTTGACTACAACCAAGAGGCACGAAACAGTTCGTCAAGAGGTAAGTCTTTCTAATCATGCACTGCAAAATTCAGAACCATTCAATATTTATATGCTAAAAAATGTATGTGAACTAACAGCCAGGCTTAACATTGTGGAGTATTAAGCATGGGTAAAGTATCAAATTCTTCAATACATAGATAGTTAAATAAATAATAAAGCAACGGAGATACTTATTAAAAAACAAAACAACAACAACAACAAGAACAGTAATAATAATAATAACCAAGGGCTTTGTAGCCTGATGGTACTTCCTCGCCTTCCAAAGTAGAAGGTCAAGAGTTCAAGTCCCCATAGGGGCAAAAGTGGGTGTGTGAGTGTGTTTCTTGCCAATGAAAAATAAAATTTAATAATAATAATAATAATATATTATTATTATCATACGAAACTAACAGAGATACAAGTAGATCAGAGCATAGCATTCGATGTATAAATAAGAGTAAAAAGCTGAACCAAAAGAGTGAAGTTTTAACAAACCTCAGCCCATGATGGCTCCAATTCGGTAGCTCCTGCCATATTAGTACAAACCATAAGCAGAAGTATCAAGGCAGTACATTAAAGTTTTGAAAAAATAATGGTCTTACAAAACAATCAAATTGAAAACCACAATAACATAATAAATAGGTAAAAAGAAGTACAAGAAGCATGGGAAGTCTGGAATAATTTATGAAAATTATGTACATAAAAAGGGAGTTAAATTTTTCTCAAGGGACAGGCTTCAAGGAGATCTCAAAAGACCAAAATATTGAAATGATGGGCTAAAGAACAAATCTTTGCGTCACCAACAATTATAAATATTCAACATGAGAACATGAGTGAGAAGTTAACAGTAAAAAAATTTATAATATAAAGGAAGATGACATAAGAATAGGGACATACGAGTTGCCGCCTTCAAAGCATTCCATGCTTCCCCAATTTCAAGTAAAACTTGAGCCTTTTGCTCATGTATAACTGCTCTTTCTGGCATCAAAATAAGAGCCGCTTCCCACTTGCCAAGTGCTTCATGGAACTTCCCCTCCTTCAAGAAAGAAACCAACCAATCACGGACATTACAATATATATAATGGATAGGTGGAAATACTGCATTTTTGCAAATAATTTTATACTGCAAATACAGAAGTTTCTAACACTTGGGAATATCTCCCTCTATAGTGTCAACCACTTTGCCTTTTCGCCTAATCAAGTGCTTCTTAGACACCTAAAAAGTCAAGGTCGCAACAGATAAAGAACTAAGGAAATGCAAAGGATGCAAACAAGAACTAGAGAGAGTGGCAACAAATTATGCAGACATATAAGACGAATTATGGTGGTGTACTTGCAAAAGGAGCACCTCCCAGACCTGGCATGTTCCGAGTCAAGCAATGGCCATCAAACACGAAGCCTTGACCCCATGGAGATAAATTGTTTTATAAATTTCCACAAATCAAGTTCACTTTAAAAGTGACTATAGTATTACTAAAGTACAAATTAATAAAATTTAGGGTAAATGCTCTTACACCCCCTAAGGTTTGCCTTTATTGCTTACAAATTAAAGTTGGGCAAAAATTACTCTGAACAAAAGTTTATATTTTGACACAAAAAGTGATTTTACTATTCTACCCCTCTTTATTTAAGCATTTCCTTCTCTGCCATTTCAATATGCAATTGAAATAATTTGCATGCCTATTTTCATCTCCATCAGCCACCTCCTTCCTCAAATATACCCTATAACACTCTCTATTAATACACACATATATACAAGTACGGTGCAACCACTTACACCTATTTTCATCTCCACCAGCCACCTCCTTCCTCAAATATACCATATAACACTCTCTAGAATCTCTCTTTCCTAACCATGGTTGAACAGAGTTTCTCATCCCACGAGCCATTCCAAGCCCTGATTCATCATATAGCAACTCCATCATTTCCCACCACCTAAAGAACTATCACTGCTACCATCTAATCTGAACCTTTTCCTTTCAAGATAAGAGTTGGTCATCCTCAAACTATTCAGATAGTAATGTTTCTACCTTATTTGGTTTTGGATAAACGAGTGACTGGAGTCTTGATTGTTTACTCCAATTCTTGAAACAATTAGTTGCAGTATACAAAGGTAGAAAAATGGGTCTTGATTCATGCCGATATTAGAGTACATAAACTGATTAGTCGGGTTTGCTACATGATGAAATCAGTGTTAGAAATTGAACACCGATTCTAAATCAAGAATTGAACACCAATGTCAAGATTTCATCAACCGATTCGTCACCAAAGTCAAGATTTAATCACTGAATCACCATATATTGGTCCGATTTCATCACTGATTCTGATGAAGTCGGATTGAAATAAAGACCCATTGATTTCTAACACCCATGTTAAGAATTGAACACCAGTTTCATCATCATATATGGGTCATGATTTCTAAATCAAGAAATGGTGTTCAATTTCTAAACCAATGCCGATTTGAAATAAATGGGTCTTGATTTCATATTATGCCCTAAAATATCTTCAATTTCTAACACCAATGTCAAAAGCAATGCGGATTTCAACAAAATAATCAACAAAATAATGACAAATTATCCATAAAATTGGATTGGCTTAGATCTGTTCAGCTATGGAATCAAACCCCAAAACAACCCATCAAAGAGGTATATACTTGGCAAAATATACATATGCAATGAAATTGTGTATCTGGGTTTTGATTTATATGGTTAAAGTTTGGAACTTTAATTGGTACATGACACAACCAGAAAGGTTTCAGTCATGGAGGTCAAGGGAAATGGTTGTGGTGCTTTCATCTAAAAGAGAGTGAAAATTGGTGCTTCACTTTCTCTAGTGGCTCCGGTTGCCACGACGAGCTCGACAGCATAAACAGGTGGTAGTAGTGGTGGTGGACGTAAGAGAGAACAGAAAGGAGGACAGTCTCTAAGGAAGGAGAGGCGGTGGTGCTGGTCAAGTCTTAGCTGAGAGACAAAGGCTTATTTGGACAATTTGCATATAAGAAGGGTAGGCATTTTATTTTTTAAATTAGCTGACTTTTGACATGGGTGGCGGTCAACTAACAGAAAGGGGTGTCAGAGTGAAGTCAACCAAAATTGAGGGGAAGTTTAAGGCCCTTTCTTCACTGTTTTAATCTGTGAGCAATAAAGGCAAACCTGGGGGTGTCGGAGCATTTTACCCTAAAATTTGTAAAACTTGAATAAATGTTTTGGTTTGGATTCAAGAATCCATAAATTGCTAACCATAGCACGGTATTGAAGGCAACTATATGTTCGGTGAGTGTTGGATCTAATAAAAGCTGCTGATCTGATTTTAAAAAATCCACAATTTAATTCCACCTCCTTTGCACAAGAATTGACACACAATAGAAAAAATCTCGCTTATCCCAATAATTGAGACTAGTTACAAAAACTCCATGGAGATATTATTCTATTATGGGCCATAATTTCAGTTGAAACATTGACGAATTGTCTGATTTCAATGGGAATAAGGTCTAATCGTGTTGACCCAAAAATTCAAGTTGAGCAAAAAAACATAACATAAATTAACCTAAAATATCTGAAGCTGTTGTGGACTACCTCTCATGATTTCAAAATTGGCTCTGAGTCTGAAGTGGAAGCCAATGACAATGTCTGAAGCCTTGTTTTATTCTTTTTTTTTGCCCTCCCAATATATGGACTAGGCAACTGGGTAACCCTCTCCCTTAGCCATAATACACTGCCATCCCACAAAATGAACTAAGTCAAGGCTAGATATCAGGTTTTTGGTACTACTACATAAATACTCGAAAAGGTTTACAACTTCATGAAAAACCTTCTTTATAAAATAAAATATTCCATCCTAGAGAGTATTTTATTTTTCCAATATCCTTGTTTATATTTTGTGTTGACAAAAATTAAGTTGAATGGCTTAGGTTGGAGATAATAAAAAATAAAATAAATAAAAAATAAAAAAAAATAAAAAGGTTGAAAATTCCATAATCTCAATAAACTCGGAAGAAGTTGGGCTCTTATATTAGATATAGAGTCAACTCCTTTTCAAGTTAGCTCACGAGCATTACATTAAAATTAAGATAATTTATCCCAAATTCAACTTATGAGCTTTAATTAACTTTACAGAAAAGAGATCAGCAAGTTTTTAAGGACCTAATTTGCAGTTGCACCAGAATTATGTCATTACCCACATTTAACATAGAGCATTACGTTAAAGAGATCCATAAGTTTATTAAGGGATTTGATTTTAGTGTTAGACAGCAGTAGAGTTGTTATTTGGCATGAAATTTAGTGTAGAAGTAGCTATTTAACGTTTACTTTAGTAAACCTTTCTAAGGTATAATTTCTAAAACTTTCAAATCGCATATCTCTTTATAACAAATTATTTGAGCTGGTTGGATCATTCAATGTGAGGTCAAGCCTGAACTAAAAGACCCTTCTAATTATTGGAATCAAGATTCCTTCAATAGTTTTATAGGAAGAATTTATTGAGTGATTGATTGTTTGAAGAAGAAGGTCAAAGGGAGACATCCAAAAGATTCTTTGACATGTGAAGGAACACAATCCAAAAATCAAGGGACTTTCAGGCTCAGCTGCTCCATTAAAGGTTGCATACTTTGCTTGGTGGGATGCCATAATATAATTTGATGGGCAAACCATTGTTTACTCAAGCGCAAGCGGCAAGATAATTCAAGTGCTCATAGGCATTCTCTTCGATTTTTGGATTTTGCTAGGTTGTTCCTAACCTAAAAAGCACCTATATGGACACAGACACAATATAATACGAATACGCTGACACGTCAATTCTAAAAAATTAGGGCAGACACTGCGTGGACACAACTAATATAAATATAAATTTTCATTTACATATTTATTGAGTGAGACAATCATATTACTTTAAAAATTTTATACTAAAGTTACATTTTTTTTTGATAAGTTCATCAAAAAAAAAAATGTAATTTTAGTATAAAATTTTTAAAGTAATAAGTTAGAAGACAACTCTATTCGAATATCAAAAAATATATATTACATTATATATGATGTTACGAGCCTGTATTGTCATTACAGTAATGTTTTTGTTCCTTTAGAGGTCGAACACTTTGATATATGTTCATAATGGTGTTTCATGTACTGTCATGTGTTTGTTTTATATAAGTTGAAGAGTGTAGGATGCGTTGGTCAAGTGGCCGGAATGTATTGACCAAGTGTCGGAGATGCGTCGACCAAGTATCGGAGATGTGTTGACCAAGTGTCTGAAATAATAAAATTGATTTTTAACTAACAGACATGTCCATGAAGTGTCGGACACATATCTAGGAGAGTCCATGGAGTGTACGACACGGACACGGCACCTTCATTCCTAACTAGGTGATTAAACTTTGAACCTGAAGTACAGAGAGCTAAAGTTCATTTCTAATGCAAACATTAGAGTTTGTGAAATGGAAACATATGTATTTTTAATGGAAAGAAATAATTAGCTAAAAGTTAAAGGAGCCTGTTAGGATTAGAACTTAGCCTCGACAAATTTTGTAACAAAAGCCGGAGTTTGTATTTTTATTTTTACTTTTAATTAGATTTTCAATAGTTAGTTTGTGGTGGTACCTATGTCAAGAGCAGAATCAAAATTTGAAGATACATCAAAGGGCAAAAAGATCAAATCACCTCGTGAATAACTAAATCACCAATTAGGGTTCATAATCATGCAATCTCATTTTAGGGTACAATGCATACATGTTTTGATTCATGAAAATGATGCTTTGAATGCACAAAGTTCATTTTAGAATAAATACATCGAAACAGGAATTTTTCACAAAAACAGTAAGCCTTGATTGATGTGTTATTCTATCGATAATTAATTGCTATATTAAGTATATGGCCTCCAGAAAAAAAATATAAAATAAAATAAAGAACTGAAAATGTAAATCCAATTATGCATATTTATATTAATGAACCAAAAAAAGGAAAAAGTAAAAGAACACTAAAATACCTAATTACTGACAAGTCCTTGAAAGTCTTAATTCTGATATACCAGTTTGTATGTTATAGGATGTATATCCATCACTCAACCCACAAATCTATCGACTACACCCACAAATCTATGACAAGTCATTGTGATAATACACCCACTTACAACCTTAAAATATCTATTAATTTTTTACAATTTGTCATATTTCGACATCAGATTAAGTTAATAGAATGTGTTGTAGCCCAAGGGTATCTCTTCTACTCCAAAGTGAAAGGTTGGGGGTTCAGTTCCCGTATGGACAAAATGGGAGTCCGAGTTATCCAGTTACTGAATTTATAGATGGAATTTCTCTGGTCAAAACACAATTTACCCATAATGCCAGATTCTCAAACAATTTTATACAATCGTATTATCTTAAAAATTATCATTATTCAGACGAATGTCATCACTAAATCGATTCATTCCATTCACAAACTTTTCAAGCAAATATTTCAGAATTACCACTATATCAATACTCCAGTGGTCACAATGGGTCTAGAGCAAATTAAAATATATAAAGATAATGCTCAAGCATATATGGCATTCTATGTATTATCTGACCTGCTGAGATATACAAGATATAAATAAATCAGTCACCTTCACAATACCCAATATACAAACAATCAAATAATCAAATATCAATCCACTCTCATAATAAAATAAAGGATTTTCGTAAATACCCACTTTCAATTCACTCAATTTTATGCATTCACATACAGAGTTCAAGCCAAAAAAAAAGTTGAAGAACATGCAAGCAATAGTAATATTTGTTGTTGTTGAAATATAGAAGCACTTCTTTGGTAAGAAGGCAAACCAGGATTTGAAATTACCTCAGCGAGCTTGTTTCCTTGGGCTTGAAATGCTTCAGCGAGCTGGGTGGTCTCATCATCGTCACCAGAATCAGATGCTAGGGTTTTGTGAACGTCGTCGTTTTTACCAACTTCCTCCCTTAGTTGTGTATCATCAGCTCTGTGTCGTCCGTCCTTGTCGCGATCTTCGTTTTGGTCGAAAGGGAGATTTGGGTAGAGAGATACAGTGGCCAGAGACCGCTTGTTGCTTTTGTTCTTGTTTTTCCATGTCAATTTCATTTTCGTTACTTCTAACGTGTGTGAAATTGTGAATGATGTGCGTGAATAATATTCATAATTCATAATTCATAATTCATAAACGAGTACTACAAGGGCACTCGAATTTAGGTCTTCCAAAAACGTTGTCGTTGTTTTGCCCCCATTTTGACATAGAATAGACAAAACCTATTTTCACATTCTACAGTGATAAGTGCTTAAATATTGCACATTTTAGCACCTAAGTTAGAGTATTTTAATCCTTTCATCAATCTTTCTTTTCCGTTTTAGTTCTAATTTGTATTTTTATTTATTTCAGGTCAATAAATTTTAAACGGGCTAAAAACAGTTTATTAAAGCCTTTTTGGGGTCGAGCAAAAGTTTAGCAGAAAATCCGAAAAAAAGTCACAAAAATTGCCAAAAGGGGACCTGCGATCGATCGCAGAATTCCACGATCGATCACAGGTCACATCATCAAACGCAACCACATTAGCAAGGGATGAGGTTGCCACATCAGCAAGGGATAAGGCTGCCACATCATCGTTCGCTCAAAGTCACAATCGATCGTAGAAATTTGCAATCGTTCGCAATGCCACATCAGCACCACGTCAGCAGATAAGGCTGCCAGTTGTCAAGATAAAACTGCCACGTCAACCACGATCGATTACAGAATCGGCGATCGATTGCAGATTGCTTGGCAGTGAGCTGTTTTATTCCCGCGTTCGCCCGATTTTCACCTACCACATGGCTGCGAGATTAATTCATTTTGGGGCTCAATTCTGACTTGTTTAGTACTCCAATGAGCTTGTATAAACGGGGAAATGAACCACTTTGTAAAGGGTGAGCTCATTTTACATTGGATTACTTTTAGATATTAGAAATTCTCTCTCCAGAATTAGGGTTTTGTGAAGAAAAGAGGCAAGAACATCAAGATCTCTAGGGTTTCTACCAAGAGGAAGAAGATGGAGCTATGCTTGGAGATTGCCCTTGAGGGTTCCATGATTACATCCACCTCTTACATGAGTGGCTAAACACCATCTTAGGGCTTGGATGAGCCTTAGACTTGTTCTCTAAACTCTAGTCTTAGTCTTTTTGGGGAATTTATTGTTGTAATGAATGCTATAGCCTTGTAAATATATGAATCTTGGTTTTTCACATGATTTCTATGGTTGAATGCTTCCTATTAATTCTCTAGATTGGTTACATGTTTATGTGTAATTAGTTGAGGATTATATCTCTACACTAGTTTTTCTATGATTAATTGCATATCTATGTGTGGTTGATTAAGGAAATAGTGATAGCTATGCATGGATTTCATTTGATACACTTGTTGATTAATATGATGGGTTCTGTTTATGCTCAATGGGTTGTACTACATCTTTAGCTTAATTGTCATAATTTCATTGTCTTAGTTTAATTATAGTGTAATTGCATTTAAATTCCTAGATAAGTAAACAATGCATGCTTGAATTTGATAATCCACGCTTATTGTTGCAAGTTATCTGATTCTCTATATTGATGTGTGCTACAATTGTGGATTAATTGGATGGTATATACTTATACTTGATGAGTTGTGCTACATCCTAGTTTACTTGTTATTAAGTAGACAATTCATTCTTGAATTTGATATGCATGCTTATTGTTGTAATTGGTAGCACACATTTGGATTATAACATGATTTTTCCCCAATTAGATGAAGACTTGTGGTTTAGTGAATGAGCTTAGTGGTGATTCTAATGCCTTAAGACTCCTCTCATATTTCTTTCACCCTAATCATTTTAGTTTAATTATTTGAATGTTTTTAAGTTCAATTGTAGTTTAATCAAACCAAACCAACTCTCTTTACAATCTCATAAGCATTAAAGTTTAAATTGATTCCAACACGTGTTCAATCTCTTGGGATGATCCCTATTCATTTCATACTACGTAGTATAAGTGTCTAGTAGGTTTTATAAATTATAAAAGGTGGTGTCCACTTGGCATTCTATAAAGTTTAACACATTTTGTGCACACACTCAAGATCACACCACATTTTTGGCGCCGTTGCCGGGGAATGACGGTTAAGATGAAATCGAATTAGGCATTAGTGCTTATTTGATTGCTTGCTTTAAATTTTCTTTTATTTTTTATTTTTATTTTTCTCACCTGTTACTTATACAATTAGGTACTTGAAGGCAAGGAAAGCAAGCATTGGAACTCAACATCGTTGCTTGGTGATGAGCGCTGAATATTGCATATTCGAGCCCCTAAATACGTATACATTAAGACCTTAAGTGATACTTTTATCCAGTTTTAGAATGATTTATGTTTATTTCATGTTTTTAAGTACTTCCCCAAAGAAATGGTTAAAACCGAGCTTTTATGATAAAAAGACCGACATTAAAGACTACATAGTCATTACCGGTCATTTGAAGCAAGCCAATAGTCAAAAAGGGTGATTTTGGAGAAATTCAAGTGTCAAGGCTCGAGCCCGGAACCAAAAGAAACAAGAATTCCAACCAAGGTAAATAAGGCTCAAGCCCTTGTAAGAGTGCTTGAACCCAAATTATGTAAAAATATCAAGTCACTTTGAAGCCCTTAACCATAAGGCTCGAGCCCAACTTCCAACGCTCGAGCTCCAAAGCATGGTGATCTAGCACTGTTAAAGATTCATCCCAAAAATATTCTAAGTGTTGAAGAAAAAGACGCTTCAAAAATTATTTGAAGAAAAATGGCTAAGTGTTAAAGTCATGCTCGAGCCCTATTCCAAGAGGCTCGAGCCCTTGCTAGTTAGTCAGACTTAATTGATGTAGGATTTGTTTTTATTGAAGTCCTTTTTCATCCCAGATGGGCCCAAATTACCCTAGAAGACCTAAAAGTCCGTCTAACCCTTATTGGAAGTTAATTCTTCTATAAAAGGAGGCGCAAGGCCACAAATTAAAAGGTCATTCTCTTAGTTATTTTCTTTGATTAGTGGTGGCTTTTGGGGTTTTGAAGGTGGAAATTCTAAGAAGAGAATTGCGGTCCATGCTGATAAAGACCACAACAACACAGATGATACCTGACGTCGTCATGAGTAGCTAATTCCTCTCTTAGGGCATTGATGTAGCCCGAATTCGAGGATTATGGTTTGATTGTTCTTAACTTTGGGGATTTATATATATTTATGTATCTTGATTGCATAATTATGAGCAACTGATTACAGATCAGTTAGTGTTTTAATGAAATAATGGTTTTTGAATGATTATTACATTATCTTATATATAATTGTTTTTAAATTATTCTCAACCTGTTCTTACTAGACGGTATGGTGGAGGTCTATCTGTGACGGTCCTGGTTTTTCAAATCAGTGCGTCTTGCGAAGACCCAAAGTTTGTAATGACCCGGTCATTTACCTTCCTTTCCTTTTTCTAAAATTTTACGGATAAATTTTTTCCGTTTAATTTTCTTTTCTGAGTTCAGTTTCTCATCTCATAGTGTCGTCTTGAATGCTCGGAAATGGTTTCTGAGACTCTTTCATTTGGATTGAAAATTTCCTTTAAGGACCGAGTCATTTCCACATTTTCACTTTTATGGACACTATTCACTTTTTATCTTTTTCTCTGTTTCGTCTTTTTCCCTATTTTGTCTCTTTCCTATTTGTCACTTTGTTGGCAAAACCTCTCTTTTCGTGCTTGAAGTTAGTTTCTAGCTTCACGTGTCTTCATTCGAAGTGGTTTCCACGAAATGAGTATCTTTACTTTTACAAGAAAGTACTCTGGTTGCTCCTAGTGTCCATAGGGCATGGATGCACAGTTCTTCAGAATCTTTTTATTTTCTTGGGGTGTTTTTTGTAAATATCTTTTAAAGATATTTTATTTCAGTGGTTTTTAAGAAAATATTTTTGGAAGATATTTTCATTCTGTGGAATTAGTGTTTTCACTTTTTGGAGGGGCCATTGTGCAATTAACGAAAGTTATTGCAAAATACCTCGTCTAGAGCTTGGATCCTCGTACGAGATTCATTTTCACATTTCAGCGACTCGTGTACTCATAGAATTTCCTTCTGGTCATTTTTCAGGGTTTCTGGACCCGGTTGCCGCCAAACTTGTTTGGGGCATATCTCTCTGCTCGGGACTCATTTTTAGATGCTGTTTCTTCCGTTTTTCATATTTTCTCATTTTGAATCTTTTTTGTTCATAGAGTTTCATTGCTTGAGCTCGTCTGCTCAAAATCCACTTTTTCGGACCCGACAAGACCCGTTCGGGGCACTTTTTGAGTTTTTCTATAAATATGGGGTCTTAAGTCAAAAAAATCAGATTTCTATCATCTTCTTCCTCCTCTTGGCCATCAGCCATGGGAGCCCAAGGGGCTGCCTTCATTCTTTCTTCTCCTCCACTTGATTTCCTTAGTAAAAAGTCTTCGGCCTTAACGTTTATTGTTCCCCTGACGTGCTCTACCTTTCCTCCTTATTAGAATCCATTTCTGACCATTTCTTGAGTTCGGGTTTGAAGTCAAGTTGTGATTTTCATGGGATTTCCTTGTGATTCTTGTTCACCGTGTTGTCCTCGGCAAAACCTTTCGGTATCGTCAGATTCGGAGCACTTTTCTTTCGGTGGGCTTTTGATATGTTCATCTCAAATTGAGGTAGGTGGTGTTATAATTTATTTTCTTGCTATATTACATGCTATGGATGCTTGTACTACTTGTTTACATGCTTGGATATCAAATCTAGAATTTTTAATTATTTATTTTCTAGCATGAGATTTGATTTTCCTGGTGGGTTATAGCCTTGTTTAAGTATGTAACATGATATTAAATTACCCCTTGACATGATCATTGACATATATTAAATTTAGAACATTTGGACAAGTAACGAAGATTTTATTTAATATTTATCTTGAATAAAAGATTAATTTATGTGGCCTTTGATAAGCGCCGAATATTGTATATTCAAGCGCCTTTAGCTGCATTAGTTAAATCCATTATTTGATTATTCCTTATAAATTATCTTCATTTGCACGTTTTTATATATTTTCAGGTTCATTGGCCAAAAAGGAGCAAAAATGGTGTTTTATTCAATCTTTGAATAGCAATGTGCTCAAGGCTAAGTTCTGGCAGCAGTGGAATCTGA